AAGAAATACAAATCCAACACCCATTTAATATTATTACAACGAAATGCAAGTTCAAAGACATATATACATGAATAACAAATGCAAACATGTTTTCATTTATCATCTGTTTGATTTTTATCCTTTGCTTCTAATGTGGCTTTATGTTGCCGATCTTACCCCGCTAGTCATGATTTCGAAACATTAAGTACAACCCTGAGAACAGAATGCCAAGCCACGATCTGGCCACGTGAATAAGTTGAAGTTACATCCTTCTAACAGGAAAAGTAACTTTCGTTATCATGGAATTATAACAAAACCTGCCAATTCAATATAAATGGAAAAAAAATATTATATGGAATTGAACGAAAATGAAAATTTGCTTGATAATTCAACTACGCTTGTTGGAGAACAATAAAAACACTACACTCAACAAGCCACCAATAAAACTCAACTGCCTAACCTATAACCAAAGTCTCCTTTTAATTTGTTTTTAAAAAAAAGCGCTTGACAAACTTGCCCCGCATGCCGAAGTTGCCCCGGTCTCCCCTATATATAAAAGTGCATGTTAAGCATTCAATTAAAACGTTAACAAACACTAACAACACTCATTTTTCAACCAAAAAATAAATAAATAATAAAAGTATTTAAATTACATATTATTTTATAAATAATGTAATACTTTCCTTCTAAAATTGCGTAAAAAATAATGCAGAAACTTCTAAAACTTATAACTATTAATTATATAAAAATCCTTCTGACAATCCCTATGACAATTCCTCTCTTAAATTCTAATATACGAGAGATTATACTAGAAAACTTTGCTTACTTTTCATCCTGATAAATCTGCATCTTAATAAATAAGGTTAACTACACTACAGTTCCGTATTAATGTATACACAGCATCAATAACAGGTCGATTTTATATTGCTGTAGCTGCTGCTGCTGTTGCTGTACCACGCCTATACGCCTACCACTTTAATTTCTCAATAGGAATTCTTACAAAAAAGAAAAAAAAATGTATTATTAAATCTTTACACGTTTCATAATTATAATATTCCAAGGAAATACAAGTATAATTTAAATTAATTACTTTTATTATGCTAAATAATACGCCTGTTTTCTTTTGTTTGCGTGTTATAAACTAACGTATTTCTCCGTTTATCTCCTCACCCCTTCGACCTTTAACCACCAAAATTTATTAGTAACAATTCACTTAATACACAAACCTCCCAGGAAAATTTCAGAAATTTTCGACAAAAAACACAGGAGTTATTAAACTTCAAAGTGGGGTGTACGAAATTTGGGGAGGGTTAATATCGCCATACTGTCATAGATAACAGAGCCCGGAGAGAAAAAAAAATTACAGGGACTGGTATACTTTTTATGTATATTTTAGTGGTAAACCGATAAACCACAAATAATAACGACTGGTCGTTTATGTTTACGTGTAGTGTAACCATTACCAGTGGGTGTTACGTAAAAAAAGTCAATATACCGTTCTGTCTGGGTGTGCCTTTCCTTGTTTTCAAATACTTCTTTTTAAATTATCTTGTGTAAAACCTGTTTTTAAAGTATAATCGTTGATGCTCTTATTAAGAAGAGTGAAATCTGGTTCTTCTGTTCTGGCACCATTTATATGTTACATTGTTTAACAAAGGATTTGAACGGAGGCATTCTTCAACTTAATTTTTAAAAATCTCTATACAAACCCTACGTTAGCTAATGATTTATTAAATAATTATTCTATTCACGTCCTTCATTAAGGAATAATCCTTGAAATCTTTAAAGTAATTATTATTTTCGAATCCTTTATTAAGTAATGACTATTGGAAAAACCCATGAAACATTAGAAACTCTTCGAATCCTTTGTAACGTAATGCTATTCTTAATAAATTATTCATAACTGTAATTAAGTAACATGCCAATTATTGATTTTACAATCACTTTCCAATCTTGTAAACACCTTCAAGATAAATCGAATTATAAATGACATCATATCCTTATCCGGTCACCCCCATTTTTCACGCATTAATCACTGTTCTAGAATATAAAGGATGTTATTTATAGAAGAGGGATTGTCTACTGTATCCTATACCAGTTTTTTATAAACTGGAATAATAGTATTTTAAAAATTATAAAGTAAAAAAGATTTTAATTAATATCTTGACTTTGACCTAAATAATGATCCGAATAATTTATTAAAGTAGAGCATCAACAATTGGGTGTTGATGATTTTGGTTTAAATGTTATATATACGCTATAAGGTGTTGACTACCACCCCTGAAAAGTATGGAATATTTTGTAATATTCTTAAACCATTGCTTAATTTGTCTAGCCCTATGGTATGATGCATCGTCATCCTGGCAGAATGATCTTCAGACGTTATAACGACCAAAGACTCTAATAACTACAAGTAACCATCACCATTCAATGTACCATCAAGGATTGCCATTTCACCAACCTCTTTACAGGATAATTATACATTCCCACATCATTACACTTTTAGGAAATTTTGCTGATGAATTCTCCAGTTGATCTTCTGTATACTGATGTGCCGCCATCATGACCACAACCAATATTTCTAATTCGTCTGTGAACATAACTCGTTGCCAGTCATTAACGCTCCAGTCTTTATGAGTTTTGGCCCATTTCTAACGATTTCTTTTGATTATTTTCTCGTGCACGGCTTACTTTGGGCCCTTCTTAAATGGTAACCTTTGTCTGCTAGCCTCCTTCGTACTGTAACACCTTGTCCCTCCCCATTTTGAATTAATGCTGCTTGATGACAAAAATCTGCTTTCCTTAACAATTTAAATTAAGTTACAGTCATTTCTCTTTGTTGTAGATCTTGATCTTCCAACCCCTTGCTGATTTTTCACAGATTCAAATGTTTTAATCATCAAAATATTCCATACTTTTGTTCAGGGGTTGTATACATTATGGTTTATAATTGACTGTATAATCAACTTTACTGTTGATGCTATTGTCTACTCTAAATCTCTTAAGGGATTTAGAGTAGACAATAGCATCAACAATTAAGTGTTAAGGGTTTTAGAGTAGACAATAGCATCGACAATTAAGTGTTAAGGGATTTAGAGTAGACAATAGCATCGACAATTAAGTGTTAAGGGTTTTAGAGTAGACAATAGCATCGACAATTAAGTGTTAAGGGTTTTAGAGTAGACAGTAGCATCAACAATTAAGTGTTAAGGGATTTAGAGTAGACAGTAGCATCAACAATTAAGTGTTAAGGGATCTAGAGTAGACAATAGCACCAACAATTAAGTGTTAAGGTGATGCTATTGTCTACTCTAAACCCTTATTACTTAACTGTTGATGTTGCTGTCTACTGTAAATCCTTAACACTTAATTATTAATTCTAGTGTATACAGTAAACTTTTGTCACAATACTCTATAATAGTATTCCATAGTCAATTATAAACACCCAACCTAATTATTATTTGTTTAATTTTTTAAAATAATTTATTTAAACTAACAAATTAATTCAACTTTTATCTCCAGGTTCTCAACTAATTTTTAAACTTCAAAAAAGATTGATATAAATGCAAAAAATTTTATTAAGCCCAATTTACAGTTAGTTAAATGCAATTAAAAATTATTTATTCGATATTAATATTTATTTACGTCATTAGGAGCATTAAAAATATTATTTTAATACTAGCAGCTGCAACCATAAAAGGTTGATATTAAAAAATAATTATTATTGTCCTCATAATGTTTGACTCACCACTTTTTAATGAGTTTTCGATGTAAAAATGTTACATATTTAAGAAAATAAAGTTATTATTTTCATATATTTATAATATATTTTAATTCCCGGCTCATTTATGTAGCCTATAACAATGGGAAAGTATTGCAATGGATCAACCCCCCCCCCAGATTATTACATTTTTGGACTCAGAACGTTGAGAAATGCAGAAAATTCGGAGGATTTTCTATATGTATGACTGTTATTGTGTGTGGGGGAGACACAATTGTCTTCACTCCCTTTGAAGCTTAATAACTCCCGTGTTTTCTGTCGAAAATTTCTAAAATTATATCGGGAGGTTCACGCATTAGGGGTGTTAATACTGTTAAATTTTGAAGGTTAAAGGTCGAGGGGGTAGGGAGATAGAGACGGTCACGTGTCGCAACTCGAATGTAATCGGACTTAATTTTTCTCGTTATTAGCATTTTTATAATTTCCTATATAAAACTGGAATAATAGTATTTTAAAAATTATAAAGTAAAAAAGATTTTAATTAATATCTTGACTTTGACCTAAATAATGATCCGAATAATTTATTAAAGTAGAGCATCAACAATTGGGTGTTGATGATTTTGGTTTAAATGTTATATATACGCTATAAGGTGTTGACTACCACCCCTGAAAAGTATGGAATATTTTGTAATATTCTTAAACCATTGCTTAATTTGTCTAGCCCTATGGTATGATGCATCGTCATCCTGGCAGAATGATCTTCAGACGTTATAACGACCAAAGACTCTAATAACTACAAGTAACCATCACCATTCAATGTACCATCAAGGATTGCCATTTCACCAACCTCTTNATTTTTCAAGGTAAAAATCTTTATAACTTCTCGTTTAGTACAAGTATTCACGAACGGGGATTTCAGGAAATTTAACGTAAATCCTCCGGAGAATGCAACACACAAATCACCCCCATAAGTACGTGTTTAATATATAATACTTTAATAAATGACACTCTAAAATATCATGCCTTGTGGCAGGACAGGTAATATAAAACAAGTGTCATTGGCCTTATATATATATATATTTACACACCTTATATTAAGTCTCTGTATAAAAATCACTTCTAAATAAATTCAATTAGTTATAAAGTTGGTGAGTTAACTGATTTGTGGGCCACCCCTCGTATTAATCATAAATTAAGTAGACACACGTAAAACACTACCGACAGGTGGTTTTTTTGCGTACAGTAGTATATATATAAATTTAAATACGTTAAAATATAATATAATAAAATATTTTTTTACCTCCATTTAAAAAATTCTATAAAATTCTCTTCGATTTGTTCGTCTTCGTTTTTATTTGATTTGTTGGTTTTAATTTCGTTTTTGGTAACATCGTAACTTGTTACACGGCTTCGTTGTTTTTCAACCATGTCTTTAATATAATACAATCTTCACTTCGCAGACAAGCAATGTCACATACCTGTTCGCTCTCATTGGTTGTTTACATAAAAGTCTAAAGTTCATTCGCTCGATTGTTAAAAAATAAATTCTACTTTGTCATCATTACTTTAAATACTAATACGTAACCCCTGTGTAGCCGTGTATTTAATTTAATTATTTAATTATTCTTAAACACTTTACTGTAACTTACTTCGTTTGGTTTATTTATTTATTTATTTTAACATTAATTGCTACATTACACAAAATATATTTATGTACTGTACGTAAATATTATAATAAAGGGTGGCTCAAAAGTCAGTTAACTGTTTTGTGTGTGTTTTATTTTACAAAATTGATTCAGAACTGTTCAAATTTTTAAACGATTCGGGTACAAATTTAGCTTTTGCAAACGTTAACTGAATTTTGAGCCACCCTCTCTCCCTGTGTGTTTGTTTATTAATTCCATTTATAACAATAATGTTGTATAAAGTAACCACCTCGTTTGTTTTGTTTCCCTGTTATGTACTGTACGTTATAACGAGGGGGTCAATGTGTGATTATTAATAATTCCCTCGTTATAACGTTCATATAGGGATGGTTATTGTATTTTACAGTACCCATAATGTATATTTTAGCTTTTCTTAAAATTAATTATGATTTTTAAAAAAATACACACGTCTGTACTACGCGTGGGGTGATTATTACAGTCGAATAAAGTACAGTAGATAAGATATTAAAATGACAAGTATTTAACATGAGTCCTTTATTGTCAAAGTTATTAACTGTTATAATGTTTTATGTTACATAAAATATGAATCATTATACAATAAAATTACGAATCAGAGAATGGGTATGCCGCAAAATATGTACAAAATTTTCTATTATTTTTTAAAAATTTTATAAACATTTAAAGGATAATTTATTTTATTAAGGCCGCATAACTAAATCTTGCTCAATTATAACACACATTAGTTGTATTTTCCTAATTGTTTCGTCAGTTATTTGTTAAGAACTGTCTCGTTTCTTCTGTACTTTACTTCTAAACACATACTTGTTACGCAATTATTAACTACAAATATATAATAATTTATAATAGAAATCGCCTAATAGATACAGGGTGAAGTGTAAGTTACACCATAACCATGACTCGGGAAACTGTAAATATTTGAATGGAATTGAGTAAGATTTCCATTATAGGCCTATATTCATTCTATTTCCTCAACCCTTCGACCTTTAACTACTAAAATTTAACCTCATAAATGCCTCATATATAGAAACATCCCTGCCAAGTTTCCAAATTCTCGGTTCATCCAGGCCCGAGTACAGTAAGTACAGTATAACCTGTGTAAGACGGAATGGCACGTACCGAATATTTTACCGGTTTGAACAGGTTTTTTTATTGTATAATGCAAAATAGACGACGACAATTTTTGTAAGAGGGGTCCAAGAATTCCTAAGGGGGTCCGTGAGTGTTAAAATTTGACCCGTCACCATACTTTTCCTGTGTTATTTTCTATAATAACCCCAAGTAAAATATTAAAATTTTAAATTAAAAATGTAATTTTTGTTTTAAAAAAAATACAAAACAAAATTACTTATGAATGATATTTAAAAAAGTGCTGAATTGCTGATAAATTATATCAAGATATTGCAATATTTACTGTGAAATTTAGGCTTTTGTCTTATCTACCGATAAGATAAAAACACCACTTTCAACTTAAAAAAACTCCCCTAATTTAAGGATTTATATTTAGTAAATATAGTATTATTATACTTTAAATAAGAGAGTTCTAAATTCTTATCAATAGATAAGAGAAATCCCTTCTATGATACCCTATTTTATTCCTTTAAGTAGAGTAAATGTATGAGCAGAAAGGGAAGTTAACTGGGGGCCCCTCTAGCAAGGGGTCCTTTATAAGAAAATATTTCCTCCAAAAATTTCTCTGGAACAAAAATGCCTGAAATCAACACTGTAAAGGGCATTGGTTCCCCTTTCATTATTACTTTTTCTGAAGCAGAATCAAATAAATATACACAGAATTTGATGTAATTTAATGATTAAGGACGTGGAATTTTTCTTCCCCTGTGTTTAACTGTATACAAAAGTTTTTAAATTAAGATGCAAGCCGATTTATACGATGAAAAATAACGACTTTATTCTTTAATCTTGTTAAGTTATGAAAATCCAAAAGATGAACTGTATACTCTAGATAATAAATCGAGGGTATTTATGATAAAAAGAAAACACGAGAGGTAAGATTAAAAATATATAAATTAAAAAATAGTTCAANTTTATACGATGAAAAATAACGACTTTATTCTTTAATCTTGTTAAGTTATGAAAATCCAAAAGATGAACTGTATACTCTAGATAATAAATCGAGGGTATTTATGATAAAAAGAAAACACGAGAGGTAAGATTAAAAATATATAAATTAAAAAATAGTTCAATTTGGTTATTTAAGTTATGAAATTTAAAAAATTTTATATCTCTTTTGATCATTTTTGCGCCGAATTTACTAATAAATTTACATTTTTTTTAATAGGAAAATGAAAGATTTAGTGTTGAAAACTCGAGACAGACAAACAAAAACATTTAAAAATTGCTAATTTAAATAGGATTAAAAACTCATTGGGAAAAGTAAAAGTACATTAAGTTTTACTTTCCCCCAGCTGTTATATATATAGTAAAGGGAAAGAAGTACGGCTATCGTGGTTTTTTCCCTCTATGTATGGATGATAGTGTGGGGGCACGATTTTCTTCACATACTTTGAAGTTTAATAACTCCTTTGTCTTTTGTCAAAATTTTCTGAAATTTGGCAGGAAGGTTTGAGTATTATGTGAAAATGTTTATAGAAATTTTCATAAAAATTGGTTCAGTGGTTCGTGAGATATGACCCCTTAATATCTCCCTATTCAATCTGAAGACGTAAAGTAATGGTAGCAATTATTATGCATGGAAACAAATAAAGAATGCTGGGAAAATCCATCTTTTTATAAATTTCTATAATTAATTTTTAAGTTAATATTTTATTTTCTATACAAAAATTCCAACTATTTAGGTCTATGAATAAATTATAATCAGATTAGCACGTGTTCTGTACTCGGTACACACCAGAGAATGTGTTACGTCGTTCCAACAAGTAGGATGAATTGGTATTGTTAAAGCAGTGTAGATTCTACGTCGATATGTCGTAAATTCTGCATTTTTATAATAAAAAAGTAGAAAAATGACGTCAAATTGACGTAGAATGTGTACATCATACCGACACAGCTAACACGCCTACGATATATTCACTCGAATGTTACCTCGTAACCTATATTTGATGATAAATTTGCATATTCTTGTTACAATAACACGAATATATGACACTGTTTCGTACTAAAACAGTGGTATTTTATACAGAATTTATGTACGTATGTAATTTATATGCTACAGTTTTCTTAAAAAATAGTCTCTACCTTCTGTGAATTATTCCATTCTTTTAAATTATAATTCTTTTGGGATTCTAAAAGCAAATTTTGGTGAAAAATTTTAATATTTTATGTAAATTTTTAAGCAAATTCTTAAACTTTTAATACAATTTTTAATTTTAAATTATTATAAAATTATAATTAAAGTGGAAAAAAGTCCAAAAAATTTAATTTTTTTCGTTTTTAATTCGAACTTTTAGTATTTAAAATCACTTTTAAATCAGTATTTTTTTTATGCCATGTGATCGTAACCGATAGTTATCAGCATTCTAAGAATAGCAATATGACATTGTATATAATTAATAACAATCTGTTATATTATACCATTATTGACTAAACACACAAGAATCTGCTTTCTTTCCCCCTGGAATTTGACACTATTAGCTTTGATTGCATTATATCCCTGCAATATTTATTGGATACGTGATTGTCCATTCGTTACCAATCACCAATACTGTATTTCGTAATTGTCTTTTATATATATCTATTTTCTTTTTTTCAAATAACAATCTTGCTTCATGATTTCTACTCGGAATTGTTTACCGAACTTCATACTGATGTGATTTTTGCAATGCTTTTGGTAAACTATTGAGCAGTTCAGCTTTTGTGTAAATTTTAAAAATTATTTATAATAAATGCATTTAAACTACGTTTTTGTTGTTGTTCCTCTCTTCCTCTTTTCATGCCCTCTTTCTCCTGTCTTTCTCTTCCTTTTTTTCTCTCTCTCTCTCGTTCTTTTTTCCTCTCTCTCTCTCTCTCTCTCTCGTTCTTTCCCCCCACCTCTCTTTCTCTTTCTCTTCCTTCTCCTTTCTTTTTCTCCTTCTCTCTTTCCATCTCTTTCTCTCTTTTTCCTCTTCTTCTTTCTTGTTTCCTTCCTCTCTTTCTCTCTTTTATTATCTCTCCGGCTTTCTCTCTCTTTACCTCTTTTTCTCTCTTCCTCCCCTTCCTCTCTTTCTCTCACTTCTTCCTCCCTTTCTTTCTCTCCTTTCCTCCCCTTCTCTCTTGTCCCTACCTCTCTTTCTTTTCCTTCTTCCTCCCTATCTTTCTCTCCTTTCCTCTCCTTTTCTCTTGCACCTTACCTCTCTTTCTCTCTTTCTATCTTTTCCTATTTTTTATCTCTTCCCCCTCTCTCTCCTACTCTTTCTCACTTTTCCTCTCTACTGATTGTTATTTTAGAAATTTATTCGATTAAAATTCGTTTAATGCCGTAAAGATGTAATTTACGAGATTATTTTTAATTACAATTAATGAAATGATTTATCTAAATGGCTAAATGATTATTCTTAAAAATAACCATAACTCATTATTAAAATATCAAGATCCGTAGACACCGTTTAAAATCTATACATCTAGTTCAATATTGTTTAATAATACAGACTCCATTAATTAAAAATTTAAGTTAAAAAATCCAATAAAATGAAGATGATAATGCTGTACACCCCTTGAATAATTTCCACTCGAATATACTCACAAACACAGCCGGATTTACATTTGTTGTGGTCTTAAGCTACAACACACATGTGGCTCTCTCTCTTCCACCAAATAACAATGAGCAATAGACATAAACGGTGAGAATAGAACGAAGCCCC